CGTTGACTTAAGGGCCAAGGCCCTATTTCACTTTGTTGATATACGTTCTAATCATGTAGGCACACCGGTACGACTTACGAGAGAACAGCTATATCGCGGAGGGTATGCTTACCGTCTTATGTTTATGGACACTTTATACGCGATTGTTTACACAAGATAATGCGCTACAAGCACCGTATAATCTCGACCGCCTTGTCACGATTTCTGTTGGTACAGTCCGGTTCCCATGAGACATGAAATGTGTATAATTTTTTTTTTGTTTTTAACCCGGACATCCGAATTATAAAAAAAAACCCATCACATATATTTGTGCGTGAATTGAATTCCTATAGTATGTATAGCTTGCAATTTTTGAAAAATGTATCATTGCTCGAGTCATCGTCGACATTACTAATCGGGTTTCATCTATTCTTCAGATTGTGAGTCTGAGCAATTGAATAGGTACTGTCTTGTGAGTAATGAATATCCACCAAGGAACACTTGCAAACGAAACGTTTATTTCGCCAGTGGTATTGTTGTATATTAGGTTTATTAAATAACGTTCACGCGTTGTGATTTATAGTGCAATGTTATACTATATAGGTATTATTAAATAAAAATGTTCGTTTTACGCTTTCTGAAATGTGCATTCATTCTTTATAATTGGTTTATAATTTCGGTCTACACCATGATGTCGTTGCGACGTCATTATAGGCAACAAACATTTTTATTCCGGAAGCCTTAACGGCAAATAGGTTCAGTAGGTATAGTATTACCGTGGTTTTTATATTAATACCATACGCATTATATACTGTTGGAAGACCACGGTATAAAATTGTAAAGCGCATAATCATATGTATTTAACGCTGTCGTTGTACGTGTCAAGTGAGTTTCGTCAATGATTGATGTTCCAAAAAACAAAACAAAAAATTGAAGGTTTTTAACGAACAAATAAACTTAGAAAGAAGAATTTATTTGAAAAACTGCATTCGAACAACAGCTTTATTAAAATTCTCTTACGTGTATTGTAGTTGATTGAAGATAATATTTTAATAAAACATAATCACAGGAAATGTCATAGGGAAATCGTATATGAAATCTATGACATATTATATACAATACTAAATATCAAGGCTAATTTTCATTAGGACCCCAAAAAACTAAAAACTATAATATATGTAAGTATATTTAATGTTATTCGAAATATGGGACAAGGTATGCCTCCGTTGAACTAAAACGGCTAGCATAGGATCGGAAGAAATGGATGACATCAGTTAAACGGCCAAACGATTGAACACAAAAAAAAAATACTTTATAGATGGAAAATGTACATGCTAATAAATTTAAATAATATAGTTATGTGTATTACCCACTAGCAAGCTGATATATATTATACCTATATAAATCGAACTGCGTGAATGATACATATAATTCTTCAATGTTTCGGGTTTCAAAAAAGTTGAAGTGATATGTAACGATAATCTTTAGTGATATGACCCACGAAGGGAAAATATTATTATAAGAAAAAACTGTCATTATACAGCGATGAGATAGCCTTGAAATAGCTTGATAAATTTCAAATTAAATCATTAATACATGCTTTTATATCAATTTTATATTAATATTATGACTATAGTTAATCGTTGGCCAATATGAATACTCTTGAGTCTTCAATCCGATGGACAAAAAATAGGTCTAAATTGCTACAGTTGCGCATAAGATAGACAGAGAAAAAATGTCAGTATTCAGTCCCTTTTATGATTTTGCTTATATCGCACCAATGCTCCTTACATGGCATCTATTTATTTCAACCGATTACTGCACAATATTATATAGTATTATCTGTTACTTTAGTAATGCTACTAAATTTTATTAATATGTATGTATGTATTTTTATATGTAAATCCTTAAAATATTTTTAATACTGTACAATATTATTATAAATACAATAAAATGTATCAGTTATAGGTAAAAGCTTTCCTGACACTTTTATTCATACCTGCGAGCAAATATAAAAGTTACGTTAGTTTCGAATTACTTGCATGTGTAGGTAGGTAGTTAAATTTTATCTAACAAGCATTAATGATACATGTTCTTATCTTTTAAGATAAGCAAAAAAGCATAGCAATGTCAATAACCTAATGGTGATTTTATGATTTTGACTTTTGACATTTTTATGAACCTTTATTCAGATTTTTGGATATTTTAGACTAAAGATTTTAAGATGACTAAAATAACGTCGAAACTTTATATTAAATTATGAACACTTCAATTAATAGAAATTAGTAAGTGGAGATAAAGAAACAAATACAATTTTCCATTTAATCGTTATTAATAGACTTCATGTCATATAAACGCATAAGCACTACAGGCACCGTGCCTAGGGCCTATGAACATTTTTGTGCCTACGAAAATGTGTGGATACAATTTTTTTGTATTTGAAGAAAAACCCCCCAAAAAAAAACAGTTTCCGGTTTATCTGATTATTCTGAAATAGAATCTAGAAGACGTAAACATAAAGTCTCGGTAAATGATGGCAACGCAATTGATGCTGTAGATCAAATGAGTGCTAGAGATAAATTCAAAATTCAAAAATTGTATGTTATAATTGACAAATTGATCGTAGAAATGGAAAAACGAAAAAAAGCTTATTTAAGATTAGACAAAAGATTTAATTTTTTAACTGACGAGAGTTTAAAAGATAAAGAAATAAAAATAAAGACAAAGAATTGAAGCATATAAAACCGATTTAGAATCTGCATTTATTAAGATATTGTGATTTTCTAATAATCTTTAATTTTATTTTTCAATTTTTCAAGCAAAGTTTTAGAGATTTACATCTGAAAATTAGACCGAAGATAGATCTAAAATGGAATTATAACATATACAATTTTCTCAAAAATCTAGTCAAATTTTTTTTTATTAAGGAGAAACCCCAAAAATAGCGTAAATTTACACTTTGGTCGTAGTCAGTTTATAGGTTGCTATGTGTGAGTGAATCAACTATCAACCGGTATTGAAAATATTTTTGTTATATTGTTAATTATGATATATGGTTAACTATGATAGTACATTTTTATAGTCAGACGATCAACCTTTATCGTATTCACCCTGCACAAGATTAAATTTAAATTATTAAATTTTAAGTACATTTTTGCTGGTCCCACGATATCTTCTAAACCGCTATAACTGGTTTGAACATACTATCCACAGATTCGCATCTAAGCGTTAATTTAAAAGTGATTTTATCACTTTCAGTTATAATAAAATCTATAGACCTGCGACCTCTCCGTCCCTACTATGCCCCGACCCCACTGTACTGGCTTTTGTATAATATAAAATAAAACGAACATTTCACAAGTAACTCTTTTTTGAGCTTGATGTTTTTTACTTTTAGTATTTAATTACTTTTAAACTCCATCTAAAATAATTATATAATTATATGTGCGTGCATATACGTGTCTATAATGGATATATTTGTATCCATTAGATATCGCGATGAACAAATTATAAGTTTCCTGTCTTTAATTGTATACAAAGTTAGGTAAGAGGATTTCGATAAGACCTCATACATGAAATTAAACACAATTCAAGCAAAAATAAAAAGTTATAAATTATGCTATACCTTTAAAACATACTAATATAATATGAATATTGAACATAATGCATGTAGTAGTATTTAAAATGTTTCTTAGGTGCGTTTAAAATAATTAATTTGTTAATAATAGAGTGTCTGTTATTTATAATAGGTATTTTTTTAAAAACATATCTAACATATTTGTATATAATTTGTATGAGAACAAAGATTATTGGTTAATATATTGTAATGTACTAGGATTGTTATGTACTCGAACTTGATATATAAATTTAAAAAAAAATCAACAATAATCTAAAATAAAATAAGTAAGTATTGATTGATGCACGTTACTTATGCTAAAAAGCTAACTAAATTTTGATAATTTTTATAAGCGCTCATATTAATCAATTACAGCTTATTCTTTTATAAACGGATTATAAACAAAATAAGGTAATGATAACATTTTAAATTAATTATAGCTACAAATTACAATGTTACTATAGGTACTGTAAGCACAGCTTAAATTTGATTAAAACAATTAAAAAACTATGTATTCAGTTACTCTCTGCCATTTTAAACTTGTTTAAGAATAGTCGCACCACAGAGGTATGGTACTAGATCGCTGAAGGTGATAGTAACAGAGTTTTGCATCATTCGTATAAAATATCTAAATAATCATAATAATACAAGTAAAAATGATTCGGATAATTTTTTATTCGAATTATTTCAAAAATAATAATAGAGTAAATTGAAAAAAAAATGATTAGAATTAATTGTGAAATGATTATTCGAATAACGTTTTATTTTAATACATTTTTATTCAAATACAAATTTGCACAACTCTGGATAAAAATGCGTTTTAACCGTTAGCAATGAACTGAGCGCGTTAATTTATCTATTTAACCTATGTTTCTTTAAACAAAAAATAACCTTTATCTTGGGTTTTAGATAAAGCTAAACTATGTTCTAGATATTTTATTTTTAAGAGCGATTCTAATAAAATGTTATTCTTTATTATTATTATCAAACTTGTGCTTTTTGCTTGCATTGAAAACCCCAAAGAGGAAAATCTGTCCTTTTATGTGTTGATAATAATCCGTACTAACTGTTTTAAAGTTAAAATAAAAGGTGTACAATTTATGCCAACTTATGTGATTACAATAAAATATTTATGATAAGAGTATTAAATTGTAGTATATAATATAATTTTAAAATAAATAAATTATTGTAAAAATAATCAGGAAAATATTTTAAAATTATGTTTTGTTGGATAGAACAAAGTAATAGTAGAGGTAAGCTTTTTTTAGTATCTACATTCGACATGCTGTATATTTATAGAAGAAATAAAATATTTAAAAAAATAAATTGGGCCTAAACCATACAAATAAGCAAATTATTATAAAGGCAAAACATAACTTTAAAAGAATAATTTAGTATAATCATAAAACTGAGGAGACGTACATTTATTTTCAAAAACTGATATAGAGCTAACAATACATATAATATATTTATTTGAAATGGTGATTCTCTCAAAAAGAGTTGACTTTTTAAGTGTCGATTTCCATTTTGTAGTTCGATAAATAATTGCTGTAACCTAAAATATTAAAAAAACAATTGACACACATAAGTTAATCAACACAATATACTTGTTGCTTATAAATATTGTAAGTGGGAATCTTAACTTGTTTTTAGGACCTAAATAGGAATTAGGATTAATTAATTAGAAAACAGAATTAATAAAAAAACAAGGGCTTATACCATTGAATATATCCAAAAAGTATGTTGATCTATAATATTATGTAACCATCATACAACGTACTGTTATATTTATCACGTTTAAACAGTTGTTATTTATCTATGATCATGATGAAATAATTTTAAACTATTATTTTAATATTATATTTATTTGAATATTTAAAAAAATTATTTTGGTTTTTACAAATAGTTATTTATGAGTAAAACAATTTTCTTTATTTATTGTGTTAATTAATTATTAGATAGGACCATCGAACAATAATTAATTAACGTATGTGATCTTTGGCGAGTAAATAGGTAATAAGGCGGTGTGACAAAATTTAGAGTGGGTTTTGTCCAAAAGATGAAACTAAACTTATCCGGTTGGTTTTTTTCACGATAAATCCAATTCTGTCTTCAAAATTATCCTAGGACGTCAAGTTCCTGAGAAAATAGTGTTAATGATGGAAAAACCCTAAAAACCTGCTATTTCAAAAATAAAAATAAACTTGTTCTTATCAAATTGAACCACGATAAAAAAAACCTGAAATGATAATTACCCCAAAAAAAGTTATAGCATAATCCATTGTGTTTAAACCCCTGAAATACTAAAAAAAAAAAAAACATTGATCAAAAATATACAAATTTACCCCGAGCGTGAAAATTGATTATTAACCTTTGCAACGCCCACAGGTTATTAATATATTTTTGATTAATGTTTTTTACTTTTTTAGAATTTTAAACAATAAAGGGATTATGCAATAAAGGGGTTAATTAAGGGATTATTATAATGTCTTATATGTATAAGTCATTTATTATTTCAGAGTTCTTTTTTTAGTGGTTCAATTTGATGGGTACAATATGATTTTTATTTTTGAAATAGCGGGTTCTTAGCGACTTTCCCAAATTTAACATTTATTTTCTCCGGAACTTGACGTGCTAAGACAGATTTGGATTCTACGGGAAAAAATCTATCGGTTGAGGTCAGTTTCATCCTTTGGACAAAAGCCACCCTAAATTTTATCAGACCGTGTAATTTGTAGAGAAAACGCATTTCAGTGTGAATTTGAAAGAAAACGAGGGTGTAAATTCATACTATTATTATAATTATTCAAAATCTTCAATCATTCCCGTGGTCCGTTAACCTGTTTGCTTTATGATGTACACACTACAGGCCAGACGTTTATCTATGACAATTATTGCTTCCGAGCATATTTAAATATGTCTAATTCAGTTCTTAAGCATTTTATTCATAATTCGCATAATATACGGATTAGGTATAACATATTAGTTATAGTATTTTAGAATTCACGCTTTGTTACCTGGCGGAAAATTGTAAGCTTTATAAATGTCGTCTCTGTAGCTAGAATAATCGTTTAAGTAGTCCAACGGTTGACTTCTTTTTCCCCATGAACCTGCACAAATATAATACAAAACAATTAAAAAAGAACATAATATTAAAAATAACGATTTTAATAGTTAAACGAATATAAACAAAGCCGAGCAGCTAAGTTCCATTTTAGATCAGTAAATAAAATTATACTAAAAACTGTTGTTGTAGCCAATTCATATATAACATATTATTTAATATAAGCGGTTTTAAACAAAAATCTGTTTATATTTATTAATAAAGTACTATACTTGAAATTTTAATAATTAAAGTCGCCGTCGAGACCTAGACTGAATACTGCGATTACAGTTTATTATAGAATACTTTTGGAATTGGTAACAAAAAAATATCAGACCGAGCTATGATGACTGATGAATTATTATTATTTGTCTGTATTTAACGACAAGACAATAACGTAATACTGCAGCTGTATAGGACATGGCACGCTGATTCTACGGGTGCAATCACTCCATTGTGTTTTTTATGGTACAATAACCGGAATTTTCTTGGATTGTAATCAAGCACCGTAGTAAACGAACTGTACAGCGAGGTTTCCGTTCGGTGATCCTAAACCATAAAGTGTTTTTTGGGATTACTTTTAAACATATACTGCATAATATATTTGTAACAGTCACACTGGCATCTGTGCACGTGACGAACACTCCAAGTGATGAAAATAAATGCTATTGCAATATTATGTATATTTCATTCATTCATTTTATTTTAAAGATTACACTTTAAAAGTTTCAAAGGTTATACCCTATTATTCGATGGTTACACACACCGGTTTGATTTTACGTGGAATTCGAATTGATTGAACACTTCTAGTTGTAACGGTATTTGTATTATAATTTGAAGTCGAACAAAGAAAATTTTATTTGTCTCCAAGAATATGGCGGTTAGTGGTATTGTATGGAAATGAGCATATTGGTATTGTATAAATGTATTATTTAGATTTACAAATGAACCCGTATAAAAGTAGTCCTATACAAGCCGGCTGCAGAAAATAAATAAAATAAGCTGCGATTTCGTTGTGTAGCGAAAAACAAACTAGAAATAATAAAACAGGCAAATAGTAAGAATACATATCAGTAAAAAAGGTGTACTTGATCATGTTAGGAGTGCAACGTGCACGAAAAAAAAATTCGTTGCATTTACAAAATGGGGTTTCAATAAGTGACATCTAAATATTTTGTAGTTGACTCTACCGAACAAGTTAATTAAATTAAAGTTGATGATAAAGGAAAACAATTATACAGTCAATACTCATTAAATCAGGCAAAAAAAAGCGGAAACCTCTATTTGTAAATTAACCTTTATTTGTCGAAGCAGGGAGAAAGCAAGGGGGGGGGCGGTGAGAAAAAAAATGCTTAATAAATGTCTCGTTTTAAAGTTAACACTTATAAAATAATATATATGTATTCATACATACATTATTAATTATTATATAAGTATTGCTAATTAAAAACCCAAATTCTCTCAGCTTGGGAAGGAAGCTAACATACATCAATTTTCGTTGTCAAAACATATTTTTCTTTAAATACTTATCTTATACATTTTGAAATAGGTGAAAAAGGATAAATAGACGTGAAGAAGCGATTTTATTTAAGAAATGGTAAGAAAAAGTGACTGTAACGAGTACTGATTAGCTATGAATCGCAGAGATCCAGATTTACGGGGATAAAGAATTAGGGGAAAAAACCACTATAGAAAAACATTTAATTTCTTAAGAGGTTAGAAGTTGTTTATAAAATCTTAAAATTAGCCCTCATTTTTAGTGATTAAGTTACTCTATCTATTTTTAAAATTTCCAATAATAAACTTCTATACAAATATTTCATAAAATTAATTTCTGTCTTGTGGGAATCGAATTTTATCTTAGGAAATATAAATCAACGTCAAAACAATTAACTTTTACAATCAATAATACTTTATACAATTATTTCTAATTTGCTGTAATGATTATATACCTTCAATACTTCATACATTATTATGTCAGTAATATAGACAGAATTATTTTAAAACCCTTCAAAAGAAGAGTAAAGTGTTTGGAATGAAAAAGCTGCTTCGAATATTTTTTAATGAAGCCATACCATATTTTAGTATACCAAAAATGAATAAAATTGTACATGCCTTACATACAATTACATACCTTATACCATTTAAAAAAACTGTTTATAACTAAAAACAAATTAACAGAATTATCAAGAAAAAAATTGGCTTACCGGCTTACCTCTAAAGCTTGTCCAATCAGCGGCTCTCTTTCCCCAAGACCCTTGTAAAGTGTCCCACGACCTTTTAGCCTGGGGAAAAATTTCCGCCGAATTATCATCATCATTTTTTTCTGTATACTCTTCGTTCTGAGGAAATTGATTTAAAATCTATAATAGCAACGAAAAAATGTTAAATATTAACTTATTAGAAAATAAACATTGAACAGTGATACATTGATTGATACAGTATTGTTTTAAATTTAATCAGGATTATTTATCTGAGTGGTAGGCACATGAAGCTTATAATCAAGTCATTTTAATAGCATACGCATAAAAACCAATTTGCAGTACGTACTATGCGTATTAAATCATATTAAACTTCTGTCACTTGTGTTTAGAAAGTTGTCAGTGTTAACCAGCTATATTTCATTAAAACTGTATACTATAATACAATTATTTTTAGAAATCTGATTGATAGCTATACAATTCCGCTGATTTATCCAAATTAAGTGGTCGAAAAATCAACCAATTATTAATTTTTAACATGTTGTTTTTTTCGATGTCTTGGAACCAAGAAACGTACTAAATATTACCTACTCAACAGAGCAATAACTAAAATTATTAATACAAACATATCTACTGAAATGATCAATTTTTAAAAATTAATTATAGCGTGATTAATTTATGGTAGCCGTTAAGGAGGCATTATACATTTTGACTTTTTTTTTTTTTAATTTATACCTATAATGCCAGCAGGTAACATGTATTCTGCGGACAATGTGATGATCTTCAAAATATCACGGAATGGTGACAATGCAGAATAAGACCAGATAGTGTAACGTAACCGTGCCCAGAAGTTTATTGTAGCAGAATGTTTTTAATTGATAAAGTGCATTTAAAATGGTTGGGTTGCAATTTTAATTTTAAAAGTTTTAAAAATACAAAACAAAAAGTCTATAATATTATTTTTAATATACTTCGATCTTAGAGGAAAACACGTTTGTAAATGTTTATAAAAGATACATTTTTTACCTATTTAATACTTACATATTTTTGTTTTTTGTTATTATATTCGTTATTATATTAAGCTGGATATTATAATATAATATTATTATTATTATAATTGTATATTATAGATTTACAATACTAAATGTTAAATAGCTTTTTAACCTTTCGCTCTATGATCCTACTAATTTTTAGAGGTTTAAGGTCCGTACGCTATTAAGATGTATAATTTTGGAAAGTCGTCCTATCTATTTTCGATATATTAGTCTTAAATTAAATAAATAAATAAATAAAATTTTGATAAAATAAGACCGTAGAAACATTTCTAATCCTAAATTAACATGTTTGTTTTTCTTACTTGGTCGTTAGACCTCTTTCCCCAGCCACCAGACTGCATGTTGTTCCATCCACGTTTTCCCCATCCACTTTGCAACTTTTGCCAGCCCTGTCGTTTTCCCCATGACGAACGTAGGTTTTGCCAATCATGAGACCTTTTGCCCCACGTTGATTTTAAGTTCTGCCAACTTCGCTTTCCCCAACCCACCGCCTGCAAATCTCGCCATGCTCGTTTTTCTTCTTGGTCTTCGTCAAACGACCTCGTATAATCTAAGTTATCCTAGAAAACGTTATTCTATTTAAATAATATTTTAATATTATACACGAATATTAAGTACGAGTAATAACAAATAACACCGGCATATTAAACACATTTTAAAAATAAATAACTCATTATACATAAAAAAAAAATCAAGCTTAATAATATAACAATTACAGCAATGAGCAATAAGTTAATTGCTCACATATATCAGTTAGGTTGGGTGAGATTTTGATAATATCCATGTTATTGTGATTTTAATTATCTTACAGATTTTTTGACCGGGAGTAGGCTTCTCTAAGGACTAGTTCAGTTGCCTTTGTAATGTCGCATCTGTCTCTTCTTCGGCATAAAAATATTTTTTATGATGTTATTTTATATTACATACACACTGAACATGTTTTTTTTAATAGAAATGTACAACTTATTGGAAAGACGTACAAGTAATATGAATAGATTCTTTGTTAAAATAAACATTAGTAAATGTTTACCCACCATAATGCAAGATTAGGTATTATAATATACTAATTACTAACTATGATATCTTACTAAATATTTTGGGACATCTCTTGATTAACTTTTTCTGATATACTAAAATTTAGGAAAAAAGCTTTTAGATTAATCTTTCGTCTCCATTAAAAATATATTCTCGAATAATCGCACTAATCGTGAACAAAGCCGCTACATAAGATTTTTAGGACTCAACTTATATTATATAAGGGGTAAAGTCGTTGCTGAAGTGTTTAAAATATAATTACTATACAGGTTGATTTTTTTTCATGAACCACTCATATCCCACTGGGTTTAATTAACAATTGCGTTTTTTTACTTAGTGTTTTCATATAATATGATTTCAATGTTCCACACATTTCCTCCCCCCTCCCAAATTAGTTTAATTTTATATCAACTTTTGAAAGTTAAATGGACCCGCAAAACATTTCATTAACCAGTTTTGGATAACTACCTATTTTTAAAGTTATTGAAGTTTCTAGTTAGAGCAGGAGGAATGGTAGAGTGTGGTATCATTTGTAGCATTCCCCCTTCTATTCTAACTTTTGAACTCTTATAACTTTAAAAATAGTTGTTTAAAACTGGTTATCAACCAGTCTAAATTTTTAGTACGTTATTCCCAATTTAAAAAGTTAATAAAATATATACGTTTCCATTTAAGTTTTAAAAACTGCTATACATTATATAAAAATACTATGAAAATAAAAATAAAATTATTAATCCAGTGAGATATTGAGTAATCCACGATAAACAAATCATGCTGTATTCTCAATATTCTTGTATACAGGTATTCTAATAGAATACTAAATACTTACACCTAGCACTGACAAAGCAGTAAGTGAACGACCTAACAGAAAAAAGACATCTTGTCAATAAATCGATGTCTGAAGGTTTATTAGACAATATATATTGGGGAAATAGATTTGAAAATCAGACATGATTCTATTCATTTACAAGCATGATCATTTCTTGGTAAGTAACACAAATCCCGCAATTCTTTCAGTGATATTTAAATAATTTCGTCGAAGTTTTTTTCTGATAAGTCAGTAATCACTAATCAGGTTCTGTAAAAATTATGAATTATCGATCATGTATTAACATATATCTTAGATCTGGTTTTTTATTATTTTTACAAAATTTAAGTAATCCGGCCCTAAATAATTCTTTAATCTAATTTCCTCTTGGCTTCCGACAATATATTTATTGTATAAAATGAATTAATTAAATTTACTAGTTTAAGTTAAATTGTATATCATTTTAATATTTTGAAGAAAGTTCATTGGTAACATTGTTTAATTGGTACTAACCTATATTATAATACTCGAAAGGATTTTTTCAAGTGGAATCTCTTTCTTTCTCAAACAAATGTCTTCAGAATGTTAATTTTTTTTTAATACAATAAAAGATAATTATTAATTAATACGAAAGATTATTATTTTAGTTGAATGATACTTGATTACTTTCTTTTAACTGTTTCCTTAATTATTTCTACATACTCCTAACCAAATTGGCACCCATGAAATGTAGGACAGGTAATGTAATTTCCTATATGAGACATAGTAGGTAAACAAAGTTCAAATGCAAGTTTCAATACAGAATTTAAATTTAAATATTTATAAGTTCCTACACGGTGTGGCAAGTAAAACACAACAAAAACAAATCAAATTTCCTTCCCACTTTACTCAGACTTAGGACTGACAACTTAATATAGTATAGTTGGTGTGGTTAAAATTTGTATGTTTTGTGTGCTAATATTTGTATTGGTAAGCTGTAATATCATTCAAAATAAATACAGCCTTTATAAATTATAAAAATACATTCGACTTATTTTTCTTTAATTTTTTTTTAACATAAATGAGTTTTTTTTTAATTTCTGAAAATAAATTTAATTTTGAGTCCGGTAAACAGTAAAATATTTATATTTGAATACCGTGCAGGAACTTATATAGTTCAGTTTAAATGTTATGCAGGACTCTGCGTATTTAGCTATCTACCTACTCTGCCTCATTTATGAAGTTAACAAACCTTGGAAATCCATCCTATTATAATAGATTGAATATGTAATAGTGAAGAGGACTACAGTTTAATTGGTCGCAAAATGGTTGGTTATGGCTGCAGGCTTTTCATATTAGACAGGTTTATCTCTGACAGAAATCAGGATTACAACATTTGACTAAAAGACGAGGTAGTTTTATGTAAGCTGAAATGTTTCTCTAGACGTTCTTATTCATAAGTATTTCACTACATCGAGATGACTCTTAATTGGCAAAAAATATTAAAACTTAAAAAAATGAAATAATTTTTTTTAAGGGTAATTGTAACTATTAAAAATCTGAATAAATTTAATAATTGCTTTTTCAATTAAAAAATTGTGTCTGATACTAAAGAGTAAATTAAAGTGATTAAAGTCGAGCTGCGTCACCGGATGCAGCATGGGGGGCGGCATGTCTACCGCACGTATTCGACCTACACAACCCAAACAATTTTTTTTTTAATAATAATAATAATTTTGTGAGAAAATATAATAATATGTTAAATTATATTTTTTGAAATTATTTTACTGTACTTTATAACTCACCTAAAAATGTCTTGCATAATAACCGTCTTTCAACTATGAATAAAACATGATTTTTAACTCAAGAAGCCGTTTTTTAATACTACCTATAATTTGATATTACTATTGACTAAAATGGATTAAAAAAAATATTGTTAATATTTAACTGGTTGAAAACAAAGCATTAAAACATTTTAAGGACCTAAACAAATTTACTTCATATTACACACTACACAATACTATATGTGTTCAATAACATAACGAGAGTTCACATAGAACTTAAATGGCATTGTGTACAACGATATTTGTACATTTTTAAAAAATTACTTAACATCGTTGATCCAAAAAAGTCCTCTGGGTCAGTGACAACATTTTTTTTTTTGATATTTTAGCATCTCTAAATTATAGTTTTAATAACATTATGCGATATTTAATAGTTTTCAAAAACTTTGTGTGTCAATAATATTTGTTGAGTATTTGTTCACTAAATCTTTTTTTATTTTAATAAAATGGGCTAAATGCTTCAATGTGTTAAAATATATCGTACGCATAAGGTAACAAAACGATGTAACTGTAGTTGTAATAATTTCCCAAGCATTCCTATTCCATTAAATTACAACCCATAACATTTTAGTGAAAATAATTTGGTTTTTTCGTTCTCCTGTAAAATTTAAATTTTTGCAGTTGAGTCATTGTTCAACCGGAGCGGCGATATTATCATTTATCTTATTTTAGTATAAATTACGAAATATGACTACCTACGTAAAATATTGCACATACATATAAAATAACTAACTTGTAAGAGCATGAAATATGCTGAAACATTTTAATTGAAATAAATTTAAAAAAAATTTCATAAAATTATAGTTTTTTACATAGAATGTTTTTTAGATCAACGATGATATTCTATTATTTACATTTATTATCTAAGTAATTTGGTTTACTTGATCGTTTTGGTTAGTTTTTAGAGATGACTGAACTGCTGACTCCTGTATCGAAACGACAATCATTGAACATAAAATAACCAATGTGGCCGCTATATTTCCTAAAACATTCTGCATTCCGTCACTTTCTAATATTTCCTGAAACATTATTCCCAATAAATTAGTAAATCATGTGTAAAAGTTAATAAATAAGTAAATCTAGATGTTTGCTGTTTAAAATATCTACTAATATCTATTATGTAATTTATTGATTTATAAAATCATTTCTAATAAATGATTTTGTTTACAAACTTATCAATACTATATACCATGCCAAAACACCTGCAAATGTATTCAGTATCAGCGACACTTTGTGTAGAAGACATCTAACCTAATCTACTGGAATCATTGAAGATAGTATTGGTGTCAATTACATTTTTTTCTCACATATTTATAGAAGTCGCATAAGATATTTTTGCTTGTTTCAGATTATTTGATAAACTATAAATATTAAATATATTGCTTATTATTAAATAGAACGAGGTTTTAATAGCTTACATAATAATTTTCTAGAGAAAATTACTGTAACATGAAATCGGATAATACTATATTATTTTAAAACAAATATCAATGACCACAGACAAAATATAGTAAAATCTATTTGGGTGGAAAAGTCTCACGGTTTCAATTTTAAATATGTTTGATTAAGGCTTTTTGCATAGTACTTAAATGTAAGTTGTTTTTGTAAGGCGCATCGATTCCTAACAATCAACTAATTTTACGAGGCTATCAGTAAATACTAAATCTTATTTAAATATCAAAGTGTAGCCATGTTTTGTATTGATGTATTTAAGTCATACTTTTTCATACTTTACCCTTTAATATGTAATAAATATTTATATTTATAGACAATCAAATGTTTATATTTACTTAATTTAATAATAACTTTTTTTAATGTTTAATTAATTTCTTTTTTGTACTAGTTGCGTTGGTAAAAAGAGATAGTTTTATTTAATTTTTATTTAGATACTAAAATTATGGTGTATATTAATAAATTCTGACAGAGTCAATTCTAATTTATAACATAAACTGTATCGTTCATTTCCCTTTTCAATTAAATCCCACGAAGATAAGATGGTTCCAAATGTATTTTCTTTATAAACAAAAATCGGCCTTTCCTCTGTTTGCCTTGAAAACCAATTACTCACCTAATGTTTAACCATGCGACTTTAGTATATTTGTCTTGAAAGCTTAGTTTTCAAATATTTTGACGTTTTTGTTACAAACACATTTTAAATGTTTGTAAAATACTAACAAATCTGAAATCTATATTATTAGAGTTTGTGAATGTATGATATTATCCTATTAAACTTTTTTTTGCATATGTATCGGTAAATTTACCTACTAGGTATAAAATTGTTGATTAAGTAAATTATTATCAGTATATAAGTAAGTTAGTTTCTCTTTGTGATAGTCAAATTATTTACGGTTTACATGACTTCTTTTTTGATTCCCATAAAAGATGGTAAATTTAGTTACTAGTTTGTTACAAATAGAAAGAGAGAGTAAACTTAAATAATTGTATATTAACTTGAAACCTGTTTCCGCGCCCCCCCCCCCCACCTTGGCAATAAATAAACTGTTGATGGTAGACCTTCAATTAAACGATAGAACTAAAATCAACGAAAATAAAATCATAATATAAACGGTTAATAAGGATAACATAATTATTAATTAATTCAGTAACACGGTCGGCTAATGAGAACGTTAATGTAGAGATTATAAATATGCGGCGACGCCTACAGCTGGCGTAATACTATTATTATTGTATCATGATGCAAGTCCCTCGTATAACAAAACAATGCTGATAAAAAAAAGTTCACATGCGCTCATTGAAATAAGAATTTTTCGTCATACTAAATCCAATCAGCTCCACTGCAGTTATTACTATACAGAGTTGTGTAATACAGCGACTTTAATAATAACTGGTAAACATTTAGGTCATACATTCTGGGATCCAAATGATCTATAAACTATAAAAGTACATTCATTCAATTTGTTTGTAGAAGTATCTATTCTAACACACACCGGATGTAAAAATAAGGATTGTTACAGTAAAACTGAGTAACTTAGAGTACTGTTAGCATATTGGAGCAGACGTTTTAAAATATACTGTAAGGTTCGGTTAGAGTAAAGTATACAAAATATGTGCTCTAAATTACTATACACCCAGAAGTCAGAACCTTAAAAGAGTTCTTATCTTCAATTTAATTATTCATTTGGGTATTTTTTATTGCTTTTAACAGTTTCATAATTCACCAATCCCAACTGTGCATAGTGCATCCTTTTGGCATAATTGTAATTACAATTTTTACGTCACATAATTAAATGACCAGGAAAATATTAAAAAAAGCATATTTATATATTAAATTTTAACATTTTTATATTGTTTCCGGAAAAGTATAAATATTATAATTTAAGTTTACTTAGTAAACTTTTTTGTATGGTAAAATTTTTATTTTTAGATTATAAACCAGCATGCCATTTTTCATTGCCTCGACCCTCTCTTATATTATTTTTTAATTTTTTATAATAATACACCTACCCAAATCCTGACATCAACATAAACATGTATAGCGTATGCACCACAATAAGTAAGTATGGTAATTATAACTGTATAAATAATACTAGTCGTTTAAATATAATATAATACTATAATACACTATACATAATTGTTTATAATAATATATGAACATAATAATTATTTTAATATATAGCAGTACAATTTGATATTAGAGTATGTATAATTACAATGATCTGATAGATTTAGATGTTGATAAAAAACTTAAGTGAAATTATAAGATCAACACTCTAAAAAGATTTTTGACTAAATGTTTTGGAATATATTATTTTATGAAAACAAATTACTATGAATAAAAGTTTTGATTAGCTAAAAAAATGACAAATAGATGCTTATTAAAATTTGTCGGTAATTAAAACACATCTATTTTCCACAACAATCATATTAAGATGGCTAGAGTATTTAAAGTAGTGTATATTATTAAACTGACTATTATTGTTTAATGTGAATTAAGAACGTAAAACGAATTATGAGGGCTATAATAACATTTTAACTGCGAAGTGTTAAATTTCGTATAACCGTCTGTGTATTGCGTTTTACTGAATTGCTGTTTTCGCCAAGAAGAGAATAAACTTCTCAGCATGTTGAATGAATTTAAGAGTCTGAAATTATGTGCAATATACTATACCTACTATACCAATAACACAACAGAGAAATGTCCTACACTATACCTTACCAAAGTGAGAATTACCTCCTCCCATCCCCATAAATATCAATCTGTCTAAAGTTATTTGTAATGTACAAAAATATGCTACAACAATAGATGTAATATAATATGACTTGTGAGAATGTACAGATATCGAAACAGAAAATACTAGAGATTCAGACATTTTAAAAAGCAAAAAAATCATTTTTTTTTTAATTTCACGTTTTTGTTGTTAAATAATTTTTTTAAAAAGATATACCCGCGTAAGGTATGTACAAGTAATCTACGCCGGAACATTCCTTAAATAATAGATTTTCAAAATTATCTATATGACTGCATCCGCGTCATTTTATACTAGAGTTGTTCTTTTATTTTTCTCGCTTTAAAAAACGTCTTTATACCGTGCAACTATATATTTCCACTGCATATGTGATTTGGTAACAAAGTGCCTTACACATGTGTACTATTAGAGTAATTTTCTAATTTAAAATTATAAAACATTCAGTAGTTCAAAAAATTATGTAGCATATGTACAGGTAATAAAGCGTGCGTATAAAAACATTCTCTATATATATATATATAAATTATTTTAATTTTAGGCTCGGTTTTTGGTGATCGCTGATTTGATAATGTTTGTTACTTTCGTCGGGAACTCGTTAAGGTCACTGAACAGTACGCTCATTAAAATAATTGTTGTCAACACAACAGGTCGAAAGATTTAACATTTTAATATAAAAAAAAAAACATAAAACGTTAAAAATAAATTAAATGTGATTTAAAGTTTTGTAAATACAGCATACCTAAACCTAAATGTTAAAAAAATCGATAAATTAATTCCTATCCAACAAAAATTTAATTAAACATTACAAAATAAATGAAAAAAAAATTAGTATAATATTATACTCCTTAGTTTCAATCAATCATCAATTTGTAAAAGTGATTTTGAGATTTTTATGCAAATAAAAATATAGAAAACTTATACAATTCGACACTAGTTCTAAGCTGTATCTTTTTGTCTAATAGAAGATACCACCCTTTTTAGAGGCGGCCGTACCAGACTTTAAAATCAGTCTATTCTTGATCAAGAAAATCATACGAGTAATAGTAATTACTGTTTATTAGTTCATAGAAAGGACTTGAAACAATTTGTTTTATTTACAGTTTTAATTTGTAATAATTGCGTGTATCTTTAAATGGCATGTAAAGATTTTGGAACACCCTTAATTAAAACATTAATCGATAGTAGGTTTATATACTTAAAAACGATAGTTTAAAAAATAACTCAACATTTTGTAAGTACATTTGTTGTCAAAAAATGGTTTTACCGTATAATCCGATAAAGAGTGGAAAAGTTTCTTTTTGCAAAACCGTAGTATATATAATAAATCCATATTTCAATCACAGGAAATCGTAAGAAATACTTTAAGTACTGTAAACATATGTACAGGAAACATTTTAGACTGCTCTTCTTTAAAATCGTCATACATATAACAAAGTTAAAAAGTGCATTATAGTAAAAGCTGATAGTCGGTGATCGGTGTATATTAAGCACTCGTCAGATGAGCTGGTTAATGATGAATAATTATAAAAAAATGCACAATATGTAGACATTTGATATATTTGTTAACATACACTAAAGACGTTTTTTAAATGATGAAATTTTAACTATTTATATTTTATTTTTAATAAATTTAATATTTTTAATTTACAAAAAAAGTACATGGCAGTATGATAAACATAGACCTCGGTTATTCATAATTTTCACTATACCATTCCGCTTTTATCGGGTAAATTAAATATAAGTTTTTTAAACTTGCTGTTTTTAAAGTTTTTTGCTAATAGAGTGTAAAGCTACATACTTTATATACCCCC